TCAGCCTTTTCATATACCGCTTTATTATCTTCATAACTACAATACTGTTATCATCATAACTACAATACTTTTTAAATTCATTTGATGGATTTTTCGTATTGTTGATCTTTGAATAGGATTAGAATGCCAACATAAACTATATGATGCGTATGAATTTGGTTTATTTTTTAAGTTTTCGTATCTTCTTCGTTTGGAATTTCCTGGTTATAAAAGAGATATAAATTTTAATCAAGTAATAACAACAAACATGTACAAATAATAATATTCAAGACTATTACTTCGATCTTCAATGTTTTCTTTTTCCCGTAAACGTTTTTTAGAATTTTTTGTTATACTTGAATTACAGTTTGTATGTTCAAAATTATTCTCTTGATTATAACTATTTTGAAATTATCAAATATAGATAATTAGTAAATTTAAAATCAATTAATTTATATTAAATAAATATTATGTAATTCTTACTTGATATCCATTATATCAAAATTATCATTAGAGAACAAATTATTGTTAGAAAATAGATCTATAAAATACAAATCATATGTAAAAGAAATTATTAAAGTAATAATTATTTATTTCATTTTACATAAGAATCATTAAAATTAATAAATACCTGTTATTGTTGAATTAATAGATTCTAACATAGGATTTAACAATTTACTATAATATCTAGAATTAGGATGCTCATATCCTGGATTTTTTACAAATGGTTTTTTGGATTTGATTACTTCAAGTCGTTTATCTTCAGCTTTTTTAAATTCTAACCAAATATCATATTTATCTGGAAGATATTCTTTGATTTCATCTTCAGAGTACCTATACGGAAATTTACTAAATAATTCATAAATTTCTTGTATTGTTGGTCGTTGAGAAGGATTAGAATGCCAACATCTTTTCATTAAATTTACCCAACATTCTGGTGTATCTTCTGTGATTTCTGGTCTTTTTCCATCTAAAATATCTAATATAAGTTTTGGTCCATGTTCTTGATCATGAAATGGTCTATGTCCTGATGTCAATTGCCACATAATCATTCCTAAACTATAAATATCTGATGCATATGAATATGGTTGATTTTTAAATAATTCTGGAGCCATATATTGAATTACTCCATATATTTGAGATTTTCTTGAAAGATTTGGTTTAATAGTTGCTGTTTGACTAGATCCTAAATCCGAAATAATTGCAAAATTTTTATTTACGAGAATGTTACCACTATGTAAATCTCTATGTATAATTTTCTTTTCATGAATTTTTTTAACTCCTAAAATAATGTTATTTAAATAATGAATTTTCTCGCCCCATGTTAATATTTTAAAGTTTTTGCTTATAAAATGATGCAAATCTCCATCCGGAAAATATTCTAAAATAAATGCATAATTTTTAGTTTTTGGATCTTGGGTTACTCCATAACATTCGATTATATTACTTTTTTGATTATTTTTGAACCGAACCATATGCTCTAACTACATTTGTTCAAATGCAATAATGGTGAATATTTGAAAAAGGTAAAATAAATTAAAAAAAAAATTTAATTACTAATGTCTTTACCTCTTTTAAAAATTCAGTATCAACATTCTGGGAATTGTTTAGGATTTTTAAAACCACATCACTTTTTGGTCTATTAATGATTCCATTAACTATATGACTTGTTTTTTTCCAGGATGCTTTATAAACTTGGCTAAAACCACCTTGTCCGATTTTCTTTAGATCGTTAAATTCTTTAAAAGGAACCCATTCTAAATATTTTTCAGTTGAAGTTTGTGTGTTTTTGATGAAACGATTAATATTTTTATTACCACTATCAATAGATGAAGATACAGCGACACAGTTGCTACAGCTATATAAATTTGAATCATCACAATTATGAACATTTGGATCTTGAAATTTACAGCTAAAACATCTAAAAAAAT